GATGAGAAAACTAGTTATGCAGTGTAGACACCAATTATATTATATCTCAACCTCAGCCTCAATCTCTTTCTATAGACCAAACACAAGTCAGTCCTAAATAAAATCATATCAGAAGGACTCATTTCAGTTGCCAAAAATTCTTTGAATAGATAGGTCCGTGTTGAGTTGAACTTCAACTGAAATCATCTTTAATTTATTTCCTTTTGGCATCATGGTAGAAGAGTCTAAAATAGTAAGCAAGATACTACTGTTTTAAATGAATTTAAAGGTACATATTTTCTCTCTAACAAATTTTTATTTTTATTCACTTATAATATAAAACACAAAAATACAAAAGCAAATAATAAGGAACAAAAGTAAGAGAAAGGGAAAAAAGAGAAATGTGGGAAATGAGGGGAAAAGGAAAAAAGGCATTGACTTCTGACTGCCTCTGTTGCAATAAATTAAGGCATTAACATTGAACCTCAACTTTTTACATTTCTGTAGTAGTATGAACTAACCTTTCTATATTAACAAATCAATCTAATCAGTAAAACCCAAAATCAAAATATCATTTTTTTCCACAAGCACAAAGTCCAGAAGCGGTTTCCAAGTAGAAACAAAAGTACTTATATTCTTTTCTTTTAACAAACAGTCAGTTTAGCCATCTCTGCTAATTCTGTCAACTTCCATTTTTGTGCGTAGAGTACTCTTGCTACCATCAACATATATAAAACCAGAGTTCCAAATTTTTTCCCCAAGTCTTTTTCCATTAGACCCAGAAGAAAAGTTTCTGGTTTAATCTTTATATTTACTTTAAGAATTTTCTGCATTAAAATATGAATCCTACTCCAATATTTCTTTGCTTTATCACATGTCCACCATAAATGATAAAAAGTCCTTTCTTTACATTTACATTTCCAACATTAATTTAGGATACCTTTATACATTCTAGATAACTTATCTGGTGTTAAATACCAGTGATACATCATCTTATAAAAGTTATAGTTTTAAGTTATAGTTTATAGTTTACCGTAGTGTGAATTTTAAGCCTTTTGTTCACATATTCTCACATTATACCAAAAATTCCTTGGCCACTGAATCATACAGTATTTTACATGTGCACTTTCCAAATTCAGTTTCAATAACATTTTGTAAACCTTAGCAATAATATGATCATCACTACCACATAGTAAAATTTCCAATTCGTTTTTAACAAAGTCAAACTCATGACTCTTTTTATCTAGTTTAAATATCTCCTTCACTTGTAAGTACCGGTATGTAGACCACTGGCAGACATGACCATCTCATTCTAACTCTTCCTTACACTTGAGGGTAGGATCACCAAAATTAAAAGATATTATTTTACCATACATCCACCAGTCTGGCTTCGCCACCATTTCTTTTCTAAAAATAGTTGCTTCCCCCAATTCTCACAGAGAATTTTCAGGGATGTAGTAATTAACTAGGATCAGCTTATTTTGGGAGATCAGTGAGGCAGATACAAGGTTCATCACGAGCTTGATATAGTCCTAAGTCACTTAGGAACCTGCTTCTAAAGTATAGTTCTGTATATACATTTAACCAGTTCCTTTAGATTGCAGCAGAGATCCTTATGGTCTCTCCTGGCTAGTCACATGAAGTGGTAATTCTGAGGCATTGTAACATGTCCTGCAGGTTAAGAAGTTCTATACAAGCTATTGAAACAACTATCTTGTATAATCAATATAGTTTGCTACCAATAATTCAGATATAACATTTTATTTTTATTTTTTAGAAGATGGGAATTAAGAATTGATTGCCTACTTTATTTAAAGATATCTTAAATGGAATAGGAATAAACAGCTATATAAATTTCTATTACCACTAATAAAAAGCCAATATAGCTAAATTAAAGGCTAGAAAGATAATGATTATGTTATCTTAATAGCAAAGATTAGCATGCTAAGTTGGTTATTAGTTAATTCATGTCCATGATGAATGGAAATCTGCATGAAATAGTTTTCAATATTTCATAAATAGCGGGCAGCCCATCTTGCATGGTTAGCGTATTTTTTTCCTTCTTCATAGCAATTAGTATATATTCCAATTTTCTCTTCACAAAGTACTTAAGTTTATGATTAGGTACAGTAAACAGCAACATGAACAGGTTATCCATTTCTGATATATATGCACAAAATATTGTTTCACCACAATAAGAGATGTTTAAAATCTATGACACAGATTTTGAAACTACTGTGTATAGATTATTATAGGATGGAAAAAAATAGGTCCTAAGTAATAGCCCATTTTTCATTCCAAAACAGAATAAGAGAGAATACTCTTCTCAGTCAATGAAAACTGACTTTATGAGTCTTGCATAGATGGAGTCAGAGGAAATTCCATATGACTGACCATATCTGCATGGCATCATTAAGCCCGGTCTCCATCAATACTCGTCTCCTACAAACCTCTGTGCATTTCAAATATGACAGGTTGTCTGATCACAGTTTTAACACATCTGGAGGACAATAGGTGGGCAAGACTATCTTAATTATCCACTCCTGACTTCTCCTACTGCCTAAGCACCTTCCCATCACTTTTGAACATAGGCATTTTAATTGTCCTGTCTCAGTTAATTTACACCTGCTGTTTCAGCTCTCCTTTTCACTCAATAACTTTTTCAGCTCCATAATGACATAAGCATTTAGTGCTCTGCTTGCATAATTGTACCCAATTCATCTCCTCTTACTTTCTTTTAAGAGTTGCAAGCATTAAAACAACTGAGAACTTGGATGGCTACCAAGAAATTTCTATTTATTAGGTCATAGAATAAATGCACTTTACACATGTGTGTGTGTATGTGTGTATACATACACACACATCCATATATCCATACATATACTGTACATATCTCCATCCCCAGAACTATCCATATACATTAGAGTTGTCGCAATAATATGAATTTAAAATTAAAATGGCCAAAAATAAGAGTTTGAGGTAAACTGGTTTTGCTAAATGTATAGTACTTCATTTATGTCAGTGGCTAGGATTTATGAATAATAGACTGTAGTTAAATCTTCAAAGATCTACCATTCAATCTATATCAGAGATTGCCAGAGGAATCGGGTCTTTCATATTTCACCCTGAAAATGTTCTCAGAGATCTTGACAACCTTGGCTATTTATTTATGCCTTGCGGTAGAGTGAGTGGAACTCCCCTGTTTGTAAGGCTTTATGTCTGCTTTCTTGTTTGGATTGCCTTGTTCGTAGGGAATAAATATTTATGTGACACTAGTTGTTAACAATGACTTGATGGCACTCCCAAAAGTGTTTTTTTTTCAAAAGGCAACTGGACTTTCTTTGTTTTGCTTGAAGATGTTTTCTTCAGTTAAAACTGAGAAGCTTCTTGGATAAGAAGCGAAACATCTTCAAGCAAAATAAAGAAAGTCCAGTTGCCTTTTGAAAAAGCACCTTTGGGACAACCATGACCTGGATGACTGAGAATCTTCATATATGACTGGATGGCACATAATCAATTATTTTGTGGTTATTATTTTTATACTGTTCTAATTTTTTTATATTTTGTTGTTTTTGTTGTTATTCAATGATTGTGGTCTGCTCAAAGTCGCATAGAGTTGGGCAGCATCCAATTTGAATAAATAAATACAATTAAAAAATAACAATTCCGCAAATATCCTTCAGCAACATGCTGGATCCTATTTCATCTAATTTCACTAAGTCCCAAACCTTCAAGAATAGACTATTCATGGGTGCAGGGACCAAACCTTGTTGAACGATTTTATTTTCCAATCTTTTTTTGGTGTATTTCTTTGTTCCAATACTACATCCTTGGCAGGATTCATTCATTCATTCATTCATTCATTCATTCATTCATTCATTCATTCCTATTTTTGCTACCCAAAGAACATTTCTATATCTGTCATAACAATGTCTCCCCACCATGCACAAACACACATTCCTTCCCCACCACATACATCGACACACAAACACGCACATTCAGATGCATAAATTCATCTTAATAATTCTGAACAGTGAACAAAAGGAACATATATTTTCATAGAAGCAAATAATTTGTGAGGTTATCATTGTGAACGAGAAAAAGAATGAAGAGTTCCTGCTGAGGTTTTCCATTAACATAGGAAAAATAGTTTCATGCTACTTCAGTCATAACACACTTTCAGCGAGGAGTGTTTTGTTTCTCCACTTGTTCACATTTAAAGATTTGGAAATTGTAAATTATTTGTAGGCAAGGAGTTTTGTCTCCTTCAACACCATTTTTTTTCACCAGATCTTTTCTTAACCACTTTATTTTTTTTCCCTACTGTATTGCTGACTCCATCAGAAAAGGAAATATTTAGACTAGTGAGATTTTTTTTCTTTTTAATGTTATGTGTGGCATGTATTGAAATACAGGAAAAGGAGGGTGATAGATGGCATTCTCTTATGTATTTTAGATGTACACTGCCATATTTTATAAAACCGAGTCTCTAGCATAAATACTGATTTGATGTTACGGAGTGGATTGTTTCTTTGTTGTTGTCTTTTCTTCAGAATATGAAGAAGCAAATACTTATTCTTGCTGAGACTGTATGGACTTTATCTGTGGACAATATTAACTGAATACAACTGAATCAAGACAGAATATAACTCAGTTTACATTGCTATCTTTTATTGTCTTTTTTAAGCTGTTCATCATATTTTTAATCTTCTCCAGGGAATTATGAGAGAACATGACAAATTTTAGAATGATGACTTTGAAAGAAGACACATATGCCTGCAGAGTCAGTTTGCCAATACTTAGTGAGATGTAGCTTTAGTATTCCTCTTATGATTCAGCAGATCTGCTTCTTTTGTATTAATACCTTTATTAACAATCATAAATGTATAATTTTAGTGTCCTCAGATTGCAGTGAAGAATGATTGTATCAGGGAGAGCTATACTGTAAACATTCAAAACAGTAAACATGAAAATATTTGTGACTTGATTTGCCTTCTAAGTACCAAATTGTTTATTTTCAGAATGTAGAGATATCCTTCTCCCTGTAATTACCAAAGAACTGAAGGAATTACTGGATCCAAGTGTTGAAATGCAAATGGTACAAGACAAAAAATATTGCATTGAATTACTCAACAGCATTCTAGAAGTTCTCAGCTGTCAAGATGCGGTGAGTATCAATAAGCGTCAGGATTATATAACTGATTCCAATTTATCAAGTCTGTGTTGATTAAGGTATACCAGTTATTTACAATCCAAATAATCAATCTAGGTGCACATAAAACTAGAAACAGAAATACACTGCAGACATGCAACATCCTTTTGACTAAAGTTAAAAATAATCTCTTGCATTACTTACATCACGGGTGTCAAACTCGCCACATCACGTGACGTGTCATGACATATTGCGATTCTTTTTGCATTGCCGGCAATGGAGTGGGCATGGCTTCAGTATGATGAAAATGGCCCACGGGTCGGCAGTTTGACACCCTGACTTACATAACAGTTGCCCTAATTTTTTTGGTTTTTTTTAATGTCAGTCTTTGGTTGAAGTTGACAATGGAGGCAAATCTGAATTATAGTAATTTTCATGATTTCAGAAATGGGGAACGTGGTGCCAGAGGACTCTGCAGGAGTTCAAAAGGGTCAAATAATAAAACAGCATTGTGTCGAATGAATGAATGCATCTGATATCTCATGCATGTATGAAAAGGGCAGAGTGTGTATCATGCAGCACTGCTTTTGTTGGTTTGATGAAAATGCTGGATCCTATAGATATCTCCATCCATTGCTTTTGTTTGTTAAGATGCTAGATATAATCTGATGCATGCAACTTGTATCAGATAGTAATTCATTCAGACTCCAGACTGCAGTCTCCATGGTGACATGTCAGCCATTTTAAAAATATTTTTCTCTTGATAATTGCACATGCCACATCCATTAGTGATCCACTGGCCAGAGATTTCAAATCACTAAATTCAGATCTTATTTTCTATTGGCATAACAATAATTTTACTCTTTGAAAGATGATTCACGTTATCTTATTGCTTTATCTTTTAAAGATCACTTCTTTGAATATTATCTCAGTATCTTCCATAAGATTTATTCACTTTCATTTTTTTATGCTAAGCAGATGAGTGGTTGTGGTTTGGATCACTTTGGCCGTGTTAAAGGAAGTGATTTATTCATTATAGATATGCTCTGTTGCAAGCCTTTAGGACCCTTGGCAGCTTTAAGGAGTTTGGAAATCATTAGAACATTTATAGTACAATAAATGTAATGAAACTACCAACTAAAACAAAATCCCAAATCAGGTGTCATTTTTTTAATATATTGCTAAACTTGATATTTTGAAGAGGCACTAAATGGGATAGTCACTTGACTGAAGTTTAAACATGGATTTAGAAATATGTGCCTCTTCAATATTCATAAACCTAGTAAAAGTAGCATTCACACATAGTAAACAAAGACTGATATTATGCACATAAACAAAAAATGCCCTAAGTGAAGACTGATTTTAAATGACAAGTCTTTGACATGTACATCACTCTTACTACTACATGGACAGAGAAAGTAAACACAGATTCAGTCCCATTTTTGCATGATTCCTAGTGTGGTGCTATATATCAAAAACTTGTCATTTAAAATAAACTTTAGTCAATTGCTAAGCAAGCCAATTTTACGCTATGAGGCTGGCTTGTTCACTTAAGTGGAACTTATTTTAAACAATGATGTGGCCACTCACGTGACCAATCCAGAAACAACAGAGCTGTAATGGAATCCTGATTTATTTTTCATACTGGTCAAGGAGAAAAGAAGGTTAAACATACTGCACTGCATGAAAAGAAAAGAAATACTTTTAGAACTGTGAGCAAAACCTTCATTTTCCCAGTTTTAAATCATATTATTAATTCAGATGTGTAATACAATTAATGGAGGCAAATATTTAACCCAATTTATGATTTCCCTCATGTTTTAATATAACTGCTTTGTTAGTACAATTTGATTAAATGCCTTTCCACAATTACTACTATGCCTTTATAAAAAAAGGAGAGAAATATATTTGTCACAACCTACCCTGAAAAGGTTTAATTTGACAATCTCACTGAATTCCCAGAAGATATTTCCCAAATAAGTATGAATGGATTGTAGTCATTTGTTTGGTCCTTGGCCATTCAGGGGATCTTTGAGAAAAATAGTAAGAATGCTGCATTTTACATGGCCCCCCCTTTTTTTTTCTACCACCCACCATAAATTTCTGCAGCTGGGTTTATTATCTAGGGTTATAAATTAATCTGTTACAATAGCAGCAAACTGTACTTGAACCCGGTGGCTGTCACACCCCCTTGACACTACAAGTACAGTTCTTAAGGATAATTATAGAGTAAGCATGATATAGATCCTATAATGTACTTTGATGTTTTGTCTCTTATCTATTATATCATTTTTACTACATAGGATTCTGACAATGCTTGTTTGTGCTAACCCTTAATTGGCCACTGAAGTTCTAGAGTACTTCAGTGAGGAAAAAGTCATGTTAAAGCTTACACAAACACATTTTTATTGTTTAAGCAGTGTGGTGAAACAGGACTTGTTTTTGTCATAAATTACATTCTAAGTTTATTTGGGGGACTTAGAATTAAACATCTCACTGTCACTGTCACTAAATGATACATTTAATATTTCTACTCCTATTGTATCTTTTCCAGGGTGTGTACATACCTTAGATGTGTTTTTTACTTATATTATTTCTATCTTTTTCTTTTTCCTTTTCCTTTCATACTCTTCAAATTATCTATCTTGCTTCCCTTGCTGCCTCACTTTTCCACAGTGGCAACCAAGTGAAAAAGATACTGAACATAGCAGTGTCCAAAAGGTTTCACACAGGTCAATTAAATATTTGCCAAAAGTGTAGTGTCAAAATATAGTGTAGGTTTGATGTGGATACGGAGACCTGCCTAATAGGCTGCAGATTTTTTTAAAATGTCAAAAGAAGCAACATGCACGTTTTATAATTGTGAATGTGCTCTCTTGTGACTTTTTCCTGAAGCTATGTCTGTATAGAACAGCGGTTCTCAACCTATGGGTCACGACCCCATTTGGGGTCGATCAACCATTTCACGGGGGTCGCCAAGCAAGGCTGTTCGCCATTTTTTTTCCCTTTTCTGGCAGGTGCCTTACCTCCCTTGAGCTGGGCCAGCTGGTGGTCGGCCTGCTCTGTCTCGGCCGGCGCAGGGGGCGGAACTATTTATTTATTTATTTATTTATATTTAAATTTATATGCATGCATGGCGCTCCCGGGCAGGGAAAGTCCTCGACTTACGACCAGTTGGGTAGTCCTCAACTTACGACCGGTTTAGTCCTTGACTTACGACCGGTTTAGTCCTCGACTTACGACCAGTTGGGGGGCGCGGCATTAAAAAGGTTGAGAACCACTGGTATAGAAAAACCAATCTATTATGTTTAATTATTATGCTTAATATTACCTGAATCACAGATTCCTGATTCTGAAAGCCTTTTTATCCTGAGTAAAACAGACTGTGTTTCATCTCTGCACCCATATAAACAGTGTTTCTTTAGACATTATCTTAGGGACATGCATTTCCTTCTGCATGGATTATCTCTACAGACAAAGGAGTTCATCCATTCCTTACTCTTCTCTATTGTTTGAAGCATGGAAAAGTGCTTGTTTGTCCTCGCTCTGACTAAATACTGATGTTACCTAGTTTGGGTAATGAAACGTCTGCAAGAAAACAAGCAAGCACCAAGGGAGCACCAAGGACCCCTCATGTCAATCCTGAGCTATAAATATTCCCCTTTATTGTCCTAACTCTGTTTAGCTCTTTTCCAAAACTAAAAAAACCTGGACCTGAAATCTACATCTTTGCTTTTATTTTGTTTGGTTCTTTTAAAAACTGACTTGTAAATACTTCAAGCTGGGCCACTTTTGAGTAAAGGTAAACTTTAACCTAATTAGCCAGCAACTACAGGTAATCCTCAACTTACAACAGTTCGTTTAGTGAATGTTCAAAGTTACAACTGCACTGAAAAATGTGACTCATGAACGTTTTACAGAGTTATAATCTTTGTAGCATCCCCAGAATCATGTGATCAAAATTCAGATGCTTGGCAATTGGTTCATATTTATAACCTTTGCTGTGTCCCGGGGTCATGTCATCCCCTTTTACAACCTTCTGACAAGCACAGTCAATGGGGAAGCCAGATTTACTTAACAACCAGGTTACTAACTTATCAACTGCAGTCATTCATTTAACAACTGTGGGAAGAAAAGTCGCTCAATGGGGCAAAACTCACTTAACAAATACCTCACTTAACAACAGAAATTTTGGGATCAATTGTACTCATAAGTTTAGGACTACCTGTACTTTGAGGAGGTCTTTTGAGAAAGAGTGTGGCATCTAATTAGAGAGCTCTCAAGAGACCTTTGATTTAAAGTTATTTGTTAGACTTATTAAGGCAGAGGGAGTGGATGGGAGGGAGGGAGGACAACCTCTTAGGAAAACTCTGTCAGAATCCAGCAGCAATACATGACATGCCCTCTGAAAATGCCAGATCTGCCAAGAGGAACTGGGAAATCTGCCAAACAGCCAGATGCTGCTCTTGGAAATTGCTGTGCCCTACTGTGGCATCTGGCACTATAACAGTTGATCAAAGAAAGAAGATGAAGTTGAGAAGGCTTAGGGAAATAATAGTAGGTGCATGGCTATTATCTGTAAGTTTTAATATTCTTAGGAAAGTGCAAGTGTCAAGAGTATTATGTATTTATGCTTAATTAAGTTAGGAAAAGCATTTGCTCAAGATTTTAAGTTGCACTGAAACAGGAAAACCCATATTTAATGTAGGCTGGGTTAATAAAGGGTTGGCAACACAAAGACCACTGATGTCAAGGTAGTGATTGCAACGTCAGTCAACACTCTATCAAACCCAAACATCCCTCCCCCGATTTTTTTTAGAAAAGTGGCTCATGTTTTATAAAATACATTGCTACTTTGGGAGATTTTATGAGGTTGCTTAACATTTATTAGATAATGGCAATTAAGAAAAAAAATTAGGACCCTAACTCTTGCAAAATTATTGTTCCTCTAGGCTAAACAGTCACTCATCCTATACTAATCCATGTTTCCATGATTTTGGCTTTTTGATTAGTGTGGACCTAGTTAACATAGTTTATGGCATAGCAGAAGATATGATTCTGGACACTGTAGATTATAAACAGTTAAAATGAGCCAATGTTTAATATATGTGTGAATGCAGCCAGAGCAAAGAATCATAAGCATTACTTAATTAGATATGACTATAAATATAACCCTAATAATTAGCTCAGGAGGTGAGAGTAATAAAGTTACTGTTGGTCATACAGTTTCAGAAACAATACCTTAATTATAGAAGCAAGAAACTGTCCTGTGGACTGAAGTAAACTGAGGCATAAACCCAGAAAAAAAAAACTTGGTGTTATTTTCTCCAAGACATTCAGGGTATCATATTTATTCCTTTCCATAAAAGGAAGGTGACATCTTTTTGGGGACATCCCATCCTTCCTGGCACTTAGGATACTTTTTCCAGCAAGACAATGACTGCTCTAGGAAGGGTACAACATCAGCAATGAAAAATTAGGCAAGGTATTATTCAATTGCCATAATGTGTAGAGTCCTACTTCCATAAGTATGTGAAGGCACATTAATCACCTCTGCTTCCATATAGATACTTATCTAACTTACTTAAATCCACTCTAAACCAGAATGCAATTCAGATTGCTGAATTATGAAGGTACTATAATCCATAAAAGAGATCTATAAGCAGATATGCAAAAGAACTTTTGGTGCATTAAATATGAACCTAGTGTATAATACGAAGCAGGAGAGTTATTCAGATGTTGGATATTGTAGCCATTAATAATTATTTTAATTCTACAGCTTTTTATTCTAACATCTAGCCCTTCATCTTAATTACAATGACTTTAATACAGATGGAGTATCCATGGAGATAAAGATACGCTTTTACTAGGACTTTTGCCAATTATTGAAGATAAAAATTACATGTGATATAACACCCAAGATGAGAACTAATATCAATCTCCCTTGGCGTGATATTTCAATTATGGGAATTTTATCAGCTCCAATTCTGGGATGGCTTGAGTCATTTCTCAAGTCGCCAGGATGTTCCAGATTAGGTGTAAATTAGAATCAGTTTCAATGAGTTTTTAAAACACTGTGACATGACCAGTTTCATTGTGCCTAGTAGGTGGCAGTGAAATTTCTCAGAGTCAATCACCAGGTTCACACATTGTGCCAAACCATAGCTTATTTAATTATGGTTTTTAAAGATATTAGCCATGCTTTATCTTATCACACTGTATAGGTTCATACCACACACAAACTACACATATCAAATTATAACCCAATGCAATATGCAAACTCAGCCTAGATTTGTTTATTTACAAAGAAAGCATGCACTGCCTTTCAAAACAAGATTTTTCAAGGAAAGGTAAAATCAATATAATAAAAGTATTTTAAAGCCAGTATCTTAAAAGTTTAAACTGAAATCAGCAGAATAAAATGAATCCTTAAAAAGTCAAACCAAAATAAAATGAACAAAACAAAGTAAAAACTTAAATATATTCAAACAGTCATTAAGGTGACTGCCAATAGTAGCCGTAATTCTTGTTTAGGCTTCTATTATTTTCCTGCTAGGAATACCTATGATTTCACCACATTATGGCATTGAAGACTACAATCATCCTTTCAGCAGTCTTTAAATACTTACAATAAGGAAAGTGTTAATTTTTGAGTTGTGCTTTTCTCCTAACAAAAGACTGAGTTATGAACCCTTTTTTAAAATTAAACCTTCCTGTAGAACAAACATGGTGAGTGGACCAGTTGATGCTGAAGGTGACATTAGATGGGAAGAAATGCATGAGAAAACATGCAACCTAGCAGCATGTGAAGAAATTGAAAAGTTGGCCATTTTCTATCAACAATACTGTTGAATGATAAAAAGAATCCAAAGAGTCATTGTTCTACAGTGAAAAAGATTGCTATATAAAATGAAGGAAAAATTCTTTTATTGAACATGTAACATCTTTGTTGCTCTATGAGTGAGATAGATAGATAGATAGATAGATAGATAGATAGATAGATAGATAGATAGATAGATAGATAGATAGATAGACAGACGGACGGACGGACGGACGGACGGACGGACGGACGGACGGACGGACGGACGGACACAGACAGACAGACAGACAGACAGACAGACAGACAGACAGACAGACAGACAAACAAACAAATAAATAAAAGCAAATTCTTTGCAAGGCCATTAAAAGGACATTTTAGTGCAATCTTGGAGATAATTTTGTGGTTTGACTATTGCCAGTATTCAATGGTATATATTGTACTTGGACTGTGCGGAGCTGATGCAGATGAAATGGCAGGATGTGTTGCATCTTTGAATATTCCACTATGAGAAGAAAATCTAAAACAAACCAACCAACAAACAAAAAATCTCTCCTTGAAGGGAGACTATGTCAAGGACATGATTATGTTGACCCATGCTTTTGAACAAGGCGAGCATGAATCTTCTGACTACCTTAAGGGTCAAATTGCATTACTATGTAAAGTAGCAGTGGCTGTATGACTAGCTTCTTCCATGCTGCTAAATATTATGTTCATATGATATGGATTAAGTCTGCACATTATTCTTTATTATCTTGAAAAACATTTTTTACAGGGAACAACTTATCAGCATATACAAGAAATAATGATCCAGTTGCTGCGCACCATTAACAGGACTGTCATTAGAATGGGAAGAGATGACCCCTTAATCGTGAGTCATTCATTTTGTAAATGTACTTTACTACCTGGGCTTAGGATATGATGTGCACAGAAGCATCACCAATGAGAGATATAAAGCAGTCAGGCAGAGAAAGTTTGTCTTTCAAGGCAGGGCCCTTTAGTGGGCTTCCACCATCCACAGGAAGAAGAGGCCATGTAAAATGTCTCCTTATTTTGGCATTGGAAACTGCCCCAAGCAGACTTTCTTTCTCCAAAGCTAGAATTACTGCAGGTAGATATAGTTAGGAAGAAACAGAATCTCTTTCATGCCCTGTTCAGTTGATTGTAGTTTACAATTTGGTTTGGTTCATCTCTCTGTTTGTGTTTTACAAAATGAAAGTTATAATGAAGAATAGCCAATGTTATTTTGATGAAGAAAGCAATTTAAATAAGTTTAACAAATCCATCTCCAAAGTATCTACTGGCTCAAATACCTAGATGGCTTCATCTTGTTTTAAGATGTAAGAAAAAGCTGTGGAGCCAAGAATCAGTAGTGAGCTATCTATGTCAAAAAAAGGCCACAAAATCTGGCTAGATCTTCATTCTTGGTTTCTATCAGCTGTCAGAAATCAGAAACCAATCCTAATGCACAAGAGGATAGCTGACAAAGAGCCACTTGGATAAGTATGCCATCAAGGGTTGACAACCAATCATTTTATGGAAGCAGGATATACAAATTTTGAAGATTGAGTAATTTTCAGTAAGCTTGATACTTTGAAATGCAAACGTATCACTGGAACAAAAAAATATTCCATTTTTCTCTCTTCTGTTTTTGATGAACCATTTCTAGAGATAACTACAGTGTTAGTGTCTTCAAGTATAGAAAAATGACCGATCTGACAGTTTTAAAGACTGCTCTTTCAGGTTGTCAGTTTGTAAATATAGACACTTTAAAATTTCTTTGCTATAAATGGTATCTTAGCTGATATTGACTTACCTCTGAATATTGTTTTCACAAGAGCTGTTTTATATTCAGATTTGTTCTGAATACAATTCCATTTTACATGCCCCTTATATTTATTTTTGGCAGCTATTGTGACCATGGCTACCAAACAACTTTGGTCTTTGTCTTCTGGCATCATCATGATGTCAGTGTGATTCCAACTGAGTTAATGTCTGCTTTTCATTGTATGTTAGATTTCAAGCAGTGCCATAACATGTATTATTAATGTAATAACATGTATTATTAATGTAATCTGTGAAGGCTTCTGTAAAAAAGGATCTTTGAATAGAAACTGTCAGACCTCAGCTTTGTTTTTCTTCATTTGATTATTAAATTGCCTTAATGTCTACATAGTTTAAAACTTTTTCATGCAAGACAATCCCACCTCTGAAGGACAATTCAATTGGTCTCTTTAGTTATGTCATTTCTCCTTTAAAAAAATATATGTGCAAATGCTACTCCTCATACATTTTAGCTGTCAAGCTGGTGGCCCATGGGCCGGATGCATCATGCATAGGCCACACCCACCTCAGCTCCGCAAAGGCAAAATACGTCACGATATGTCACAATACGTCACATGACATGATCGAGTTTGACACCCGTGATCTAAGGTGTGAAACAAGGAAATAGCCACTTTTCAGAAATAAATAGTCAAAGAGTAAGGAAAGCCCTTTCTGACCATAGTACAGCTTTGCATAATCTCTGACCTTGACAAATGTTCCAGATGGTGGCTAAATCTTTCTAAAATGCCACTGGTTTGGTTGCCTGTAGAGAACAAGAAATTCCTCTGAGGTATCCCGGCAGTATTCCAAATTAAAGTGGAAAATAATCTCACCTTCTTTCAAACCTTTGATATACAGATCACTGGGGTACAAGAGGGAAGCTAGAAAAATTTTCCTGAATTGATTGAAAGTTCAATAAAGTGCAGTCTTCATTTAGTAACAATAATACCATGCTGCGGACATTTCAATATCGAGTATAAGAGCCATGATTATTCAAATGAGTTTTGCAAAGCACAAGCCTGCTAAATGAAGAGATAGAACTGGGCTGGAGTCAAGTAGCTGATATTTAGTGGGAGAATGACTCAGGAGAACTGTGAAGGTGATTTGTTGAAATCTGCCCAAAGCTATTACATCTCCTTGAATAATGTTCACATCTGCACTTTTGAGATCTGTTTTACGCCTCCCCTTTTTTTCAGTGGAAGTGCCTGTTTTTCATGAAATAAAAGGACTACTATAAATAAAGGAATAAACAATGTTCATCTAAGGTGTCCAGTGGTTGCTTCAGATGGTCCAGGCAGGTTCCTTTTCTAGGTCATGATATTCTTGGCTTAGGCTGGATTTTGCTCTCATTCGCAGTTTGAGTTGTCAGCACCACTTAGCATTCCACTGATACTAGGAAAGGTGTCACGCGTAATGAACATTGTATTGGATACACTTTCCCCAAATGTCATTTTTCATCTTTGCTCGCTTTTGCTTACATATTGTTTTAATGGGATATTTTCCATCTTGGTGCCTCTGCACTAAACTCATCATTTCAAGCCAGGATAGCCCCAACATTTTATTGCTTGTGATAATGGGAGTTGTAATTTAATGAATCTGGAAACCACTAAATCAAAGGCAACTGTCTTAAACTATTCATTAGGTATGTAACATTGTAGTTAATGTGTCTTTTAGTCATCTTTATCTACTTTCAATTGCTTCTGTTTTCATAATTTTTAGAATCACAGTTATATGACATCTTATCTGTATGGCATTCAAGGCCTTCTGCTTAAATATGGCCTGACAAATTGGATAATGCTTCACCTTTTCCATTTATCTAAGGTGGAAATGCCTAACCTAGAAAAATTAATTTCACTTCTTCATGTTTATAATATGAAGATTAACTTTGATGCCTTTTTCTATAGCCTCAGTTGTCTTAGATCCACTTTATTACTTGCACATAGGAATTATTTCTGCCTTTTAAAATGATGCATTGAATTGTATATATCCAATCACAATTGTTAATCTGTTAGTCAGAGTAATGCAAATGCTGCCTGAAGATATTCTGGCCCTTTACAGACTAGACAAGTCTCCTGCCATCCATTGTTGGTACACATGTTGGTACACATGAACTTTTATTGCCTGCTGGTAAAAGCTGCCCATGAGAAAAATCTTATGACATTCAATATGTAGTGTTATGAGAAGATAATATATATGGCACCACGATGTATGTTAATCAATATATTTTTGACTACATAAGGGAATTACTTATACATTAATTTACTATTCATGTAAACAATATAGTATTTCTTTTTGAGTAATATTAGTAATAGCAAAAGGTGTAAATGCAGAATTGGGGCAGGGCATTGTTAGTAGCTTAACAAATGAAGACAAGTTTGTTGTCCAGTTGGGATAATCTGCTCTTGACTCAAGAGTTTGCAATGCATATTCATATACATTGCCATGATTGGTCACCTGGCTGGACTGTCCCTAAATTTGGCTATGTCTAGAAATATCTAGAATTGATTGGAAAGAGCAAAATTCAGAAATGAAAATCTTCTAGCTGTGTGACGGTATCTGCAATAAGTTGGTTTGATATGAAGCCAGTGCTAATGGAATTCACAGAATTTGCTAAGTAAGGACATTAAAATAAGGAATTTTGTTGGATTACTTTGGTGCCTTATGCCAATGGTAATTGTGCTTTAGATTCTGACAGATAAACTCTGCTGAGTAATAGACTTTCGGTTATTTTATGCTCTGAAATGTCATGGGTTAGCTATGTAATGTATAAATTATCTAAGGAAAATAAATATATCCCAGTTTTATCAGTTTTAGTAAAATAATGAAAATAAAACACGTGGCTATATTTTTTCTGACACCTGAAGCTGGTAGGATAAGAAAACAATTATACTTCCGTTCTTTTGTGTAAGTCTGCTCACTTGCCCTTTGAATTTTATTTTTTCCAAAGAGTATTCACACTCTTCATACTTTTTAAGGAATCACTTAACATACTTGAAGATAAGTGATAAGTGCTTGGGTAGGGAGGTGAATGTATATAGAAAACTGTATTTCAACAGTTTGGTTAGGTAGTTCTATGTAGGCAACAGAGTATTGGAATCTGCCTTACAAGAATTGCAATTTTAAAGCAATTTGCAATTTTTAAACACGATAGGACTGGGACAGCATTTCCATGAAACTGTAAATTTGACAATTCATATCATATCTTCACTTTAAAATATACTTGTGTTCATAATATGTATAGTTGTGCAGTAGAAGATAGAGCAATCCTAATAATGTCTTCTTAAATGCAGGCCACCTGAATTCAATGGTATTTACTCTCAGATAAATGTTCAGATAGGGGAACATACTTGTCTGAGGTTCTCCTTTGCTGCTAATCGTATTCTGCTTTCTCATCTGAGTTCCTTTTCCCTTACAAAAAGCTATTTGAGCCCATTAATTTACTGTTGCTCCTTCAAAAAGAAAAAACAAAGAGAAAGAACTAGGATTAAAAAGAAACTCTCATCACAGTTGCTTGGTCCAGATGGTCACTGAGCAGGCTGTGAAAGACAGGAGGACTGACTCTTGATGCAGATCTATAAACAGATGTTCAGGTGTTTCAGTTCTCTGCGTGTGGATTTTCAACATTATGGAATTAAAGGAGAATTTCTGAAAACCTTAACTCCTTTACACCTAAAGTATGCCATCCTGAAACTGAATTTTCATCATGTCTTGTAAAACTGCTAAAGAAAAAGACTTGTTAGTAAAACAGCTGTTGAATCATTCAGCCTGGTTGGAATAATTGCATTAACTTCAATCACCATAAACATAGCTCTTAAATTATTGAGTCCTGAGACGGAAGAAAATATGTCAATTTATTGCAAAAGAGATTATGCCAGTAAAAGAATCTAGAAATATACAAAACATTATATTTGATTAGTACAGTTCATCAGGAAAGTAATTTATATTAGTGTCTGCTGCCATATTTATCAACAGTTGTGGCTGTGAGTAAAAGGAGAAGGTATTTATTGTACTGTGGGAATAATTATTTTATTGAAGATGTGGTTCAAACAAGACTGTTTTGTTCTTCTAGTTTTCTTCCTAGAAAATAATTTTCTCTGCTGAGCAAAGTAATTTCAAGTACAATAAATTCAGAATATGCAATATGTGCTATACAATATTTTACAAATGTTTATCCTCCTTACTTTTTTCCCATGTTTTCATAGCACGCCATAGTTGAATACAGCTAGTATTATTGAAACCTATACATGGGTAGTAGGTTTATGCACTCCTACTATTAAGGTCTTCTGGATATGGACTGATAGCATCCTCAGCACTGCCTTCTTTGCTATCAGCACTTCTTAAAAATAAAAAAAAATATATAGACTACTTTTCAATACTGAGCAATAAGTTTGATGTCAAGAGTTCTTAAATTGTGTTTATTAAAGATCTAGGGATCCTCATCTTTTCCCTTCCTAAAATTTCTTCTTACAACCTGCACATACTAATGTATTTAGAAATTGCCCTGCTGGATTAAACTAGATCACTTTTCCCCCCAAGCATTTTATTTTCAATTTTAACAGCCAGGTATCTTTTTAGAAATGCCTAAGCAAGGTGTGAAGTGTTGAGTCCATCACACTAATAGGTGGCTTTCTTGTCCATCTTTCTCAATGCTGATCAGGGGAAAGAAAGAGGTAGACGGTTCTCTTCTACTGTTAAAAAAAATGCTGTTACAAATCAAACAAAACAACATTTTTCTTTCTTTTCTTTCTTTTTTTGCTATACATTCTGCTTGGCCTATAGAATAAGACTAGATACAGCAAAGAAATTCAAATTTGGATTATACAGTTGCCTCTTCTTGGTTAGGATGCCAATATTCACTTTTATGGACTGAAGGACAGACAATAGGAACTGATCATCCATGGACTGTAATTTGCAGCTGAATGCAAATTATGTTAAAATGGACTGTTGAAAATTATTGGATTTCTTTCATTTAGTTCTTCAGTTATTAAGATTTGGGCCTATGAAAATAGCCTACTATTTCAATAAGTACAGCTGTGGTAAAATGCTGGAAAACACCCTAACCCTTACTAGAGGCATATCAATAACTTGAGTCTCATGGCTCAGTATTTTGGAGCTTGTATTTAATGAAATTGTGTGCTCCTTTAAAAATATTTCATTTCACAGAATTATGCACAGTATTTTCATGATAAATAGGTTAAAAAATAAATTAAATTTTGAAATTATTTAGTCCAACTATTTGGAAACAACATTTTGATTTAAACTCTTGGTGTGAGCTAAGAAGTATCTTTCATAAAAACTATGGGTTTTTTTTCTCTCTTTTTCTTTGTCTGACTAAAAAAAATTGTTAGTATTGTTGATCTGCTATATCATAAATATTCAGAATTTGAACTTTTGGCTTTCAGATGGTCATATATACAGTATAGTGTGCCTAGTTAGCTATAATAATAAAATAAAGCTATTTTTCAACTTATATAGAAATTTGTAATGACCACTTCCTTTCCCTATTCTTAGCATTTTTGTTTTTCATGAAGTTTTTTTTTAAAATGCTTCCATGTTTCCACTTATTGAATTAGATTTAGAAAAGATATATATTGTAGCAAGAACTCCTTTTCTATGAACTGGAGGTTTTGATCTCACAAAGTTTTTTTTTCAAATGAATGAAAAGACACAAGGACCCATGTCTATCAGTTCTGCCTTCCTTCTACATCATCATTTCTGAAGAAATTTCTCCCGAAGGAATTAGGAACTTTGCTATATATTTAATGAATAAATAAAAAATCAATACGATATTATCCTGTGTCTGTTGGTTTCAGTTTTTGATTTCTGCTTGAAGTACTGACTTTCATTGGACTATAATTCAGGAGTTAGATCTATTTTCCTTTAGAATGTAAGACCTCCTCTAAGCAGGAGACAAATTGGCTTGGAATCTCTCGTGTTAAGATAGTTTGCAAAACCTTTTCTTCTACAGTGACTGAACTTTGTCGTATAGGAAATTACCTCAGATCAAAGAGACTTTCCCTTGAGTAAATGCTTTAGTCAAGAATCTCTCTGAAAGTTTCTTATAGTCTGGGATGACTCTCTTAATAATACACTTTATTTTATAATCCAAGCATATCTTATTTTGTTGTTGTTCCTTGTAAAATATAGTACAGGTAGTCCTTGACTTACAACAGTTCATTTAGTGACCATTCAAAGTTACAACGGCACTGAAAAAAGTGACTTATGACTGTTTTTCACCCTTATGACCGCTGTAGCATTCCCATGGTCATGTGATTTACATTCGGGTGCTTGACAGCTGACTCACATTTATGAAAATTGCAGTGTTCTGGAGTCATGTGATCCCCTTTTGCAACCTTCTGACAAGCAAAGTCAATGGGGAAACCAGACTCATTTAACAACCGTGTTACAAATTTTACAATTTCAGTGATTCACTTAACAAATCTGGCAAAAAAAGTTGTAAAATGGGGCAAAACTCACTCAACAAATTTCTCACTTAACAACATAAATTTTTGGCTCAATTGTCGTAAGTTGAGGACTACCTGTACACTAATTTCAGAGTAAGTTTTTTTTAAACAAAATTTATAAGTATTAATAGTTCAACCCTTTTTGTTTTAAAAAGAGTGCTGTGACTTAGATAGATTCCTACAGTTATATAAGGTTTTCACCCCAAAGCCATGTTTCCTCTGATAAAATTCGGTATTTAAGCTGGGACAAAAAAGGTTATTTCTTAACATTTTAACATATTTGCTGTCTCAACATTTTTGCTGACTGCTAGCTTTGATTATTTAAAACAAATACATTATGAAAAAATTTTTAGGTGCACTTTGGTACAATCGATACAGAATTGCTATAAAGCAATTTGTCAGGGAGCAAAGCCATTAAAAAATAACTATAAACAGAAACCTGTCAGCTCCAGAAAATCCTGAATCAAGTTGGCTAAACAAGTTCCTATTTCCATCATACTCGTGTTATGTTCAGATGACAGAAGTGCTTGGTAAGGAAGTTATGGAGAGAAGGAAAGGTAAGGTTTCATTTTACTGGCCTTCTTGTCGTACATTTCAGAACAGTTTAATCTGAATACCAAGTGAGTGGTTTTCTCCTTACATTGTATGAGTTTTGACTTTTTAGATTGAGCTCTATATGGATTTAGAAAATGCATATTTCTGACCAAAATATCCACCACCGCCGCCGCTGCCACAATCCCGCAATAACGCTTTACATCTGGCTCATACTGCATTCGAATAAATGCTTATTTTCCTGAAGGGATCTCATGCTCTGATATTTCCTTTACTTCCTAGCTGCCATTATTTTTGTATCCCAACATTGGAATCATAGCAAAGCAGAATTACCACAAATCAATAAATGAAGAAGAAAATCAGAGCATGTGAAAAGATGTAAAGTCTATTCACGATGGGCCAAGAGTAATTTAGATTAAATCTTAAGTGTGATACCATCTTTTAAGGTTTTCAAATCCACCAGAAGCATTTCTTTTTCTTTGCCTTTCTTCTTATGTCCTGTTTCTCAGGGACTGGATGGTCAGATGGCTGTCTTTGTAGTGTCACCAAAACAGGACTCTCTTCCACTTGATCCAATGCTTTCAAAACTTGGTGAAACCTATCTTCTTGTTGCCTGAAGTCATATTCTACACTATATAATGAAACCAGGAGAAAAAAAATATGAGTTTTGAAGCTAGTTTTGAAGTTAGACAACAATTAATTTGATGACTGGAAAACATACTGCAATTTGTATTGTCTGTAGTTCTAAAAATGGAATGTAGAAGTGCTTTTTCTTCTGAGAAGAATCAGTAACAGTTCATTTTATACCAATCCATTCACAATTAATGCAAAATTTGTCTTAAATTCTAGTAAATCTGACTGATTAAAATGTCTGCTGTAATGAAATATTTTAGAAAAATGCAAAAATAAACACTTTAAGATTGATCTTCTATATGCTTTATTTCATGTTAATCAGCAGTATCAAGATTGCTAACCCTTTTTTAAAAATAAAGGAAACAGTTACATAAAATGCATTTCTTTTTTAGGAGCAATGTGATTTTCTTAGAAAATATTTTGTTTTGGCAGAACTCAGACTGATTATTTCCCATGTTGAGATTATATTTTAGTTTTAACAAGCACTCTCTTGAAGTATTTTATGCAGCTGTAAACAAATGGTAATATAATCAACAGGTCTTCAACCCAATTAAAGTGATTTTAATTGATTAAACCATAATTAGTTTGGACAGAGTAAAGTATCAAATTTGTTCCTTTTAAAATATTTTTGAAGCTGCATTCTTTTTTATCATTGCCCAATACTTACCTATTAAGAAAGCTATTTTCTCCTGGATTAATTTTAAAAAGGATAGAATATACTTGCTTTTGTTAAACTTTTAAATGCTTGTAATTTAAAATGATTTTTTAAACAATCTGTTTCAGAATAATTGGAAACACCTTCTTAGTTGATTAA